TGTATGTGTTTCTGTGTGGGTATGTGTGTGCGTGTGCGTATGCGTGTATGTGTGTTTGCGGGTATGTGTGTGTGTGTATGTATTTGTTTGTGTATGTGTGTGTACGCCTGTGAGTGTGTATGTGTTTGTGTGTATGTGTGTGTACGCCTGTGAGTGTGTATGTGTAGGTATGTTTATATGTGTGTATGTGTTTCTGTGTGTGTACGCCTGTGAGTGTGTGTGTGTGTGTGTATGTTTATATGTTTGTATGTGTTTGGGTGTGTATGTGTGTGTATGGAGAGGGAAGCTCTAGGCCAGTCTTAATTTTTTTCTCTCTCTTTCCTCTTTTCCTTTTTTCTCTCTTCTCTCCCCCCTTCCTCCTTTTCTCTTTTTTCCTTCATTGCCCCTTTTCATTTCCTCCCTTACTCTCTCTCTTATCATCTATTTTCTCCTCTTTCTCTCATCTCATGAGGAGAGAGAAAGGAGGAGGAGGAGAAGAAACTAATGATAATAAGAAGAGAGTGGGAAAGGCGAGGAGGAGGAGAGGCAAGAAAAAAAGAAAAAAAAAGGGGAGGAACAGGAAAGTAGTTAGGGAGAGGAGGATTAGGAAGAGACCGACAGAGAGGAGGAGGTAGAAGAGGGTGAGAGGGAGGAAGAGAATGGGGAAAAGAGATAGGAGGAAGAGAATGAGAGATATGACGAAGAAGAGGAAGTAAAAAGAGGAAGAAAAGAGCAAGAGAAGGATAGAGGAGGAGCAAGAGAGAGAGAGGACAGGAGGAATGAGAGAGAGAGAGAGCGGGCAGGAGGAAGGAGAGAGAGAGAGAGAGAAGAGGAACAAGAGGTTGAAAGAAATCATTAAAGGCTTCATTCTGCTTTGGTTCAATGGACCTCGTAAATCAGTCATTATTATTATTTTTTTTCATCATTATAATTGCTGTTATTCTTGCTGTTATTATTATTATTGTCATTATTCCGTTTTCATCTTCATCCCTTCTCTCCCTCCTTTTCTGTCTTCCTTTTTATTTTTCCCCTTTCTTCTTTTTCTCCCTCTCTCCGTTCTCTACCTCCCTTTCTCTCTCCTCTTCCTGTCTTCTCTCTCTCATTTCACTTTCTTTCGTTTGTTTCTCCCATTCCCTTTCCCTCCTTTCTCTTTTCTCCTACTCTTTGCTCTTCCTGTTTTCATTTTCCTTCGTCTTCTTCGCTCTTTTCTCTATCTCCCTTTCCTCCATCTCACTGATATTCTCTATTTATCCCTTCTTTTCTTATTATTCTTCCCTCTACCTTTGTCTTTTCTTTACCTTTCTTTTTATTCTTCCCTCTTCCTTTATCTTTTCCCTTCCTTTCTTTATTATTATTATTATTGCTATAATTAATAGTATTATGATTATTGTATTATAGTATACTAATTTAGGATACTAATATAGTATACTAATGATAGTATACTAATATATATGATTATAGTCTACTAATAATAGTATTATGATTATAATTAATAGTATTATGATTATATTACTGTATATTATTATTATCATTATTACGATCATCTTTACTATTCTTATTAATGCTGTTATTATTATTATTGTTCTTTCATTATCATTGTTATTGTTGTTATTATTATCATTATTGTTAATATTATTATTGTTGTTATCGTAATGCTATAATCTTCATGATCGTTTGAGAAACAGGACCAATTCATTTAAAAATCCGAATTTCTTTATTTTCATTTCATTTGGCGATTTGTGAAACGAAACATTTTGAGAAGAAATATTGTCTCGGGAAAATAGACTAGTTGGCACCTTGCTCGAAACTCCTGCATTATCTGTAAGGAAAAAACGTGGTTTGCATGCCAGTATTGTGCATGTTGATGACCCCTTGCGACTGTTTACTTCACATCCGGTGGTGTTTATGCTGATTGGTGGTCTGAGCTTCTGCATTCTGTGCTTATGAGCATCATTTTTCTCCCTAACTCAGAGCGCGGATTTTTGTCGCAAGTTGCCAATTAGCCAATTTCCTAGAGCCGATATTTGTTCTCATGGTCTATTATATTGAAGAAAATTGCCAAGTGATGTGTGTGTAAGTGTGTGTGTGTGTGAGAGAGAGAGAGTACGTGTGTGTGCGTGCCTGTGTGTGTTTGTGTGTATGTGCATGCATGTCTGCGTTCGTGTGTGTACGTGTGTATGTGTGTGTACGTGTGTATGTGTGTGTACGTGTGTGTAGGTGGAGAGAGGGAAGCTCTAGGCCAGTTTTTTATGGGCTAGAGTTCCATCTCAAAAGGCAGTCATTTTAAAGGCAAGAGTATTATACGCCACACTTGGAGGGGCCCTTCCTGTCCCTGCGTTTGCTTTCATCTTCGTCCCTTTGTCTCTCTCCTCCTCCTCCTTTCCTCTTTCTTCACTTTGTGTGCATGAGGTGTGCATTCCTCCGAAAGATCTACTCTGATCTTTATACTTATTATTGTTAATTTCTTATTATTGATTTTTTAAATTTCATCATTTGATATTAAATGATTAAATTATATTATTAAGTTTATTAAAAGATATTTATTTATTGAACCAAATGCTAATAATTAAATTCTTCGTATTCCTTATGAAAACACTTTCCTCTGGCGTCTGTGCAATTCCTCCTCCGCAGCTGATCTTTTTCTTTGCATTTCGCTAAATCTTGTTTTCTCTCTCTCTCTCTCTCACCCACTTCATCTAAAGTTGTCGTTGTCCACCGTTTCTCTTTAGAATTTTTGGTCTTCTTAGGTGTGACTTTAGCAGATTCTCTGATCATTTCACTCGCTCGTTTCCGAGAAGCATTCAGATCTGCCATTGCTTGCAAACAGTCAAGTTCTTACGTTCTAGTGTAGTGTTTTATGAAGTTTAAAAAGGGGGCTGATCCATACAACAAAAAAATAATCATAATAAAAGAAATTAAAGGGCAGGTCTGGTAGGCCGATAAAACAAAGGTAAAAGAATACACTTATTTTAAAAGAAACAAACCAAAATATAAAATATAAGCACAATAAAAACCACTAAGAACAGAAAATAAAATCTATGAAAAACTAGGAATTAAAACAAGGACTAAAATGAAAACTAAAAACCGAAACTTAAAACAAGAATACAAAAAAAAGAGAAAACAGACTAGACCTAAAATAACAACATTAAAACGAAACATAAAAGAAGGCTACAAAATAAAATAAAGCTAAAACGGTCTAGCAAAATAAATTCAGAGCTTGTATAAACATTGCATTTTCTTTTGAATATATTATTGCCTTAGGTTCCTGTGGCCAACAAACACGCACTTTACTTAACTTTGGGTTAGGTGGGTCTTGCAGTTCGAAAAACAAGAGAAGGGGCGATTCCAGAATCCCATGTCCACCCTCTGGCCTAAAAAAATCTTCTGCCCGCCAGACAAAATCGAGAGCGGGCGAAACAAAACAAAAATGGCGGACGCTTATCTTTTGGTTCTATTTTTAAAAGACGTTCATTTGCAATAATGCTCTGCTATGATTTATTTTGCCGGAAACATTGACATCATAACGAAATTGTAAAATTAGTATACAAATAAAAGCAAATAAAAAGTTAAAAATGCAATGAACGAAAGGTTAAAATCATGAACTAAAACACAAACAGAAATACGAACAAACATACAAATAAAACAATTAAGGAAATTAAAAACGAACAATTAAAACAAACAAAACTTAATAAAAGTCTATAAAACACTAAATAAAACATTAATAGCTAAAAAACATGATCCTTTGTGCCAGCCTTCCTTGGAGAGGCGTGCTTGGCCAAGAGATGGCGCTCCCCAAATAAAAGGGGTAACCCACTAAAATTGTTCAGATCACTACACTAGTTCTTTATCTGATTCTTGTTCCTACTTTATTCTTACCATCATTAAAGTCTTTATTATCATATGATCGTCATCATTATGTGAATTAATATCATTATTATCATCTGTGTGATTACCATCCGTTGGCAATTGTTCCAACCGTCATATAGTTTCATATTTATTGTTTTTTATCCTTATCCTTCTTTTCGTTTCATTGTATTTTTTTGTCCATTTACGATGATTACTAATACTTTTGCTTTTAGTTTTATTATTCATACCTCACCATTATTGTAGTTTTTGCTATTATTATTTTTGGAAATAATATTACTATTATCATCATCATTATCATCAAAGTGTTTCATGGTATCAATGTCAGTAGAGTAATTATTCGAGCCACCATAGATTTCCATAATTATTTTGGTATAATTATTACTACAGTTTCTTTATGCCATTTTAAATATTTTTGCTTCACTGTTTTTTCGTTATGCATAATTATTAACATTACTTAACTTTATTTAATATTAACACTATTTATTGTTAACGTTATTTTTATTAACATTGTTCATCATTTATTTCTTCATTATTTATTATTTATTAAAATAATTTATTATTAACATTATTTTCGCTCTTGCTGCAGTTCTTGTTATTATCATTATTTTTAGCAGTACTAGTATTTCTATTATTATAAGTATACTGATTATTGTCATTGATATTTCTTTATTATCATTGTTGCTATAATTATCACTATCATTATTACTATTATTATCACCATTCTTTTATTATTAGTAGTAGTAGTATTGTTATTATCATAATTATTTTTATTATTATATTTAGCATTTTTATTCTTGTATAATTCTTATAATTGTCATTGTTATCTGTTATCATTTTTATTATGATCATTATTATTACTCATATTATGATCCTCATGATTGTTATTATTACTACTAAAAGTAATATTATTGGTAATATCTTATTATCATTAATAGTTTTACTTATTTTTTTCTTTATTGTTATTATTATCATTATTGCTCTTCCTTTCGTTTTTCCTCCTTTTGTAATTCCTGCTTTTACTAATATTTTTATATGATCATTTACACTATTATCATCATCATTATCATTGATATCATGACCAGACGAAATGCCTTTTTCGGAGGGCGGAGCTTTGTCAGCGAAGGCACTGATCGCCTCCTCAACTCGGACGACTTTCAGGCCGAACGGCGATGCACCAGGCAGCCATATTTGGGAACTGGGGGACGCTGGAGGCTCTTGCGGCGGGCGGGGCCGACGTGGACCCCGTCGATGATGAGGGCGACACGCCTCTCCACGACGCAGCTTCAAACGGGGAGCTTCTCGCGGCGGGCGTCCTGACTGGCCTCGGGGCGTCCACCAGCAAGAAGAATAAGAAAGGGAAGACTCCGCAGGACCTGTTGGGGAAACCTTCCGCTGATGAACTCTTCTCCATGGTAAAGACAGAAGGCAATCAGACTGATATGGACCAATGTGCTGTTATCAGGCTGGGCGCCTTGGTCGTTGGCTACACTTACTGTTGTTTATTAGTCGGATATTTTTTTTTTTTTTTTTTTTTTTTTTGAATACACTAACTCTAGTCGACTAAAGCGAGTTACTTTTCAGGCGAAGAAATGTGCTGAAGCCGAGAAGGAAAGGATGAGGAAGATGCAGGTTAGTTCTTATTTTCCCAAAAGATCCAGTTCTGTCTGCACATGCGGAGCACTCGAAGAAATACAAAGAAATACAAAGAAATGCAGAAATACAAAGAAATACAGAAATACAAAGAAATACAGAAAGACAAAGAAATACAAGAATGGAGAAACTGAAATCATGCGTAGAGTAAGACTAACCTGAGAGGTGATCCTCTGATCTGCTTCTCGACTCAATTCCCGCTTTATTCACCGAGTCTTAAGGAGCCGATGGTCGTCTGGTTCCGCTTCCGCTGCGGCGCCAAAGCAGTTCCCTCGACGCTCTCCTGAGACTGTTTTCCCTTGCAGGACAAACTCGAGGAGCAGAAGGAGATGAAGAAGAGGTACGACTCGAAGGAGGCGGAGGCAGCCGCCCTGCAGAAGGAAAACGAAAAGATTAAGAAAGACCTTCAGGAAAATGAGAGAGAGAGAAAAAATCTGAAGGTACGTGTTAGTGAGAAAGGGAGAGGGGAGAGGAGAGAAAGAAGAAGGGAGGAAAAGGAGAGTGGAAAAGAGAGAAATCGTTGTTTTGTTTCCTCTGTTACAAGGGCTGTTCCTGATGTAACAGTCTGTCTGTTTCATCTTGCTTCTAAATGACCCCCATGTGCAAGGAATGGCCGGGGTTGCCATCCACTGGCGGTACGGGGAACTGAACGCGGGTCAGCAAGAGTGCCGGACGAGACCGCTACCACTGCACCACACAGAAAGGGGATAGGGAAGCCAGAGAGAACATGGGAGGGGGGGCTAAGTAGAAAAATATGGAAAGACATTCCTGCGACTGTTTTCTCTTGCAGGAGAAACTCGAGGAGCAGCAGAAGGAGATGAAGAAGAGGTACGACTCGAAGGAGGCGGAGGCAGACACTCTGCAGAAGGAAAATGGAGAGTTGAAGAAGGTGCTTCAGGAGAAGGAAAAGGAAAACAAGGTAACTCAGGTGCATGTAAGAGACACAGGGAGGGAGAGAAAAGAATGAAGAAGGAAGAGGGGAGAAGAAAAGAGAAATGTGAAAGTAGGGAAGCCACAGAGAGTATAGGAGTGGGGAGCCAAGTAGAAAGATATGAGAAGACACTTTCCTGAGACTCTTCTCTTGCAGGACAAACTCGAGGAGCAGGCGAGGAAGATGAAGAAGAGGTACGACTCGAAGGAGGCGGAGGCAGCCGCCCTGCAGAAGGAAAACGAAAAGATTAAGAAAGACCTTCAGGAAAATGAGAGAGAGAAAAAAAATCTGAAGGTACGTGTTAGTGAGAAAGGGAGAGGGGAGAGGAGAGAAAGAAGAAGGGAGGAAAAGGAGAGTGGAAAAGAGAGAAATCATTGTTTTGTTTCCTCTGTTACAAGGGCTGTTCCTGATGTAACAGTCTGTCTGTTTCATCTTGCTTCTAAATGACCCCCATGTGCAAGGAATGGCCGGGGTTGCCATCCACTGGCGGTGCGGGGAACTGAACGCGGGTCAGCAAGAGTGCCGGACGAGACCGCTGCCACTGCACCACACAGAAAGGGGATAGGGAAGCCAGAGAGAACATGGGAGGGGGGGCTAAGTAGAAAAATATGGAAAGACATTCCTGCGACTGTTTTCTCTTGCAGGAGAAACTCGAGGAGCAGGGGAAGGAGATGAGCAAGAGGTACGACTTGAAGGTGGCGGAGGCAGCCATCCTGCAGAAGGAAAATGGAGAGTTGAAGAAGGAGCTTCAGGAGAAGGAAAAGGAAAACAAGGTAACTCAGGTGCATGTAAGAGACACAGGGAGGGAGAGAAAAGAATGAAGAAGGGAGAGGAGAGAAGAAAAGGGAGCAATGTGACAGTAGGGAAGCCAGAGAGAATATGGGAGTGGGAAGCCAAGTAGAAAGATTTGAGAAGACACTTTCCTGAGACTTTTCTCTTGCAGGACAAACTCGAGGAGCAGGAGAAGGAGATGAAGAAGGAAATCGAAAAGTTGAAGAAAGACCTTCAGGAAAAGGAAAAGGAGAACAAGGTAACTCAGGTGCATGTAAGAGACACAGGGAGGGAGAGAAAAGAATGAAGAAGAAGGGAGAGGGGAGAAGAAAAGAGAAATGTAATAGTAGGGAAGCCAGAGAGAATATGGGAGTGGGAAGCCCAGTAGAAAGATATGAGAAGACACTTCCCTGAGACTTTTCTCTTGCAGGACAAACTCGAGGAGCAGGAGAAGGAGATGAAGAAGGAAATCGAAAAGTTGAAGAAAGACCTTCAGGAAAAGGAAAAGGAGAACAAGGTAACTCAGGTGCATGTAAGAGACACAGGGAGGGAGAGAAAAGAATGAATAAGGGAGAGGAGAGAAGAAAAGAGAAATGTGATAGTAGGGAAGCCACAGAGTATGGGAGTGGGGAGCCAAGTAGAAAGATATGAGAAGACACTTTCCTGAGACTTTTCTCTTGCAGGACAAACTCGAGGAGCAGGCGAGGAAGATGAAGGCAGAAACCAAACAGGTAGAGGTACGTGCACAGAGAGAGGGTTGTTGTCCTCGAGTATCTGATTCCCCTGGCTAGAGAGGCATTCCTGACGCGCGTCGTCTCCTCCGCAGACCGAGTACGAGGCCCGACTGCGAGACTCGAACATAGCCTACAACACCAAAGATGACGAGGCAGCCGACCTGAAGAGTAAGAACATAGACCTGATGACGGAGATGGGAAGAAAGGAAGAAGAAATCGCATCTCTAAAGGTATGGAAGGGAGATGAATAGAGGAAAGAGAAGAGTGAGAAAGAGGAGTAGGAGAGAGAGACACAGAGTGGACGAGGGATGAGGATATGATAGATAAAAGGAGGGTAACAGTTTGCATAGAAGTTAGGTGGAGAGAGAGGAGACCAACAGATAATCATATCGTAAGAGAGTGTGGAAGAATTTATCCGTACTTCTAGCCGTGTCTTTATAAATGCATTTCTTCATGCGTGAGCATGTCTGTGTCAACGAGGTAGATAATCGGGCGAAAATAGAGAGCGATCGACTGACTGTAGGAACATGATACTTCTTTTTCTCTAATGAAACTTGAGATTCCTGGAAGTTTAAGGAAACGACACAAGGCAGATGCAAATCAAGTGCTCAATTCTGCAACATCCTAACCAAGGTTGACCGCTTCAGGAGACGGTGAAGCAAGCGCAATTGCATCAGCGAAGGTGTGAGAGTAAGGCGAGGAAGCATGAGGCCGAGAAGGAAGGTCTCAACCAGCAAATCGCAGATCTTCAGGAATACATTGCAACTTTACAGGTGAGTTGTCGCCTGTGTGATCAGATACAGACTTGCAGTTATATTTGGTTACATGCAGAGATACAGAGAGGTGATAGAAAGAGACAGAGGCAGGGGAGGAGAGAGAGCGGGATACAGAAAGAGAATGTGTTCATTTAGAGATGAATAGAGAGAGACAGTGCTAGATAGATAGACAGGAAAAATGAAGTAGGGGAAGGAAACCTGAAGGGGGGGGGGGCGGTGATGGACACCCAGAGACGGATAAATAAATAGATGAACAGAGAGAAAGATAGAGATTCTCGCTTGGAAGAAAAATGGGGCAAGAACCGAGCGCTGGCGAGGCAGATGGGAGAGGAGACCGAGCTCACAGGAGCCGAGGTAAGTTCTCCCTTTGTAAACCAAGGAACCGCTGATGTGGGCGCACGCTGATAGGAGGAGATAATGCATATCGCCAACAAATACATGTCCTGTGACGCAGTACTCATAAAGTCGTTCGTTTCCAGGCAGAGCATGAAAGGCTGAAAAGTCTCAAAGCAAGGGAGAAGACGAAGGAGAAAGAAGCAGCCAACGCGAGAGGCGAGCTTGAGGAGAAGCTCAGTAGACGAGACAAGACGATTGAGGCCCTCAAGGTAGGGGCGAGCTGGTCCTTCGCACACACGCGTTGGTGTTGATGGTGGTAGCAACCAAATAGAGACTAATGTCTGATAATGCCAAAGATGGAAAATAATCTAAGAATTCATGTTTCCAGAAAAAGCTCAGTGAACAAGAAGAGGCAAGAGAAATGGACTCGCAACCCGAAGAGGAAGAGAGCGAGTTAAAGCGAATGAAGGTAAGTGTGTCACGCGTCCAGACACCTCCCTCTCCGTCGGGTGAAATGAAAGCTCATTTGTAAGCAACAAGTAAGCTGACAGCTCCCTCTGGGAAAGAAAGAGGAGAGAAAGGTAGACAAGGGGTCAGATCTTATCAAACGGTGATGAAAAGTAAGAGAAGAAAATACATGTAATTATCTCGCTTCTTAATTTCAGAGGCAGTTAGAAATACAAGAGGAAACGATGAAGGGCCTTCTTTCTGCGGTGGAAGGTCTTCGTCTGAGAGAAATGGAGGCAAGTCCTTTCTCTTATCATAAGAGTTTATATATCTATGTCTACCTATTTATATATACAGCCACAAAAAACACAAACACGTGTGCGTGCGTGTGTATATGTGTGTGTGTATGTATATATATATTATATAGATAGGTAGATATATATGTATACATATATGTATATATATACATAATTGTTTGTATTTATGTAATTATATATAGTTATATTAATATAAAGTATATATATATATATACAATGTCAAATATACATTTCTATATCTGCATATTTTAACACCCAAACACACAGTCATTCACTCACAATCATATATATATATATATATATAGTTCATATATATACATGACAATACGCACACACATAGATCTAGCGAGTTGAGGATAGAGAAAGAGAGAAGAGAGAAGAAAGAGAGTAGCATATATATGTATAATACACACAAATATTTATATAAATATATATACATATATGGGGGTATGTTATAGGATATGGAATATAGATATGTATATATGAT